CAGAAATTATTTCCCTGTGTGTCACAAGATATTGCCTGGTATATCAGAAAATATTTCCCTGTGTGTCACAAGATATTGCCCACTATATCAGAAAATATTTCCCTGTGTGTCACAAGATATTGCCTGGTATATCAGAAAATATTTCTCTGCGTGTCACAAGATATTGCCCAGTATATCAGAAAATATTTCTCAGTGTGTCACAAGATATTGCCCAGTATATCAGAAAATATGTCCCTGTGTGTCACAAGATATTGCCCGGTATATCAGAAAATATTTCCCTGTGTGTCACAAGATATTGCCCAGTATAGCAGAAAATATTTCCCTGTATGTTACAAGATATTGCCAGTATATCAGAAAATATGTCTCTGTATGTCACAAGATATTGCTCAGTATATCAGAAAATATTTCCCTGTATGTCACAAGATATTGCCCAGTATATCAGAAAATATGTTCCTGTATGTCACAAGGTATTGCTTGGTATATCAGAAAATATTTCTCTGTGTGTCACAAGATATTGCCTGGTATATCAGAAAATATTTCCCTGTGTGTCACAAGATATTGCCCGGTATATCAGAAAATATTTCCCTGTGTGTCACAAGATATTGCCCGGTATATCAGAAAATATTTCTCTGTGTGTCACAAGATATTGCCCAGTATATCAGAAAATATTTCTGAGTGTGTCATAAGATATTGCCCAGTATATCAGAAAATATTTCCCTGTGTGCCACAAGACAGCCCGGTATATCAGGAAATATTGCCCTGTATTTAACATGGTATTACAAAAATATATATATATATATATACAGTAGCACAGTAGTTCTACATCACCCCCTCCACAGTTCCTTATGGTCAACCTCTTGTCTAATGATTTGAAAGTGTTTATTAATCACTGGGGTTCACTGTCTTTAGAACTCAAGCAAAATCTTCACGGTTTTGATTTCTTCTGACCCGTAAAATTTTAGAAAATTCATCTTCATGAAATTAAAATGGTTGATAATTTCAGTAACAAGAATGTTGATAATGGCAGTGGTCAGAATGTGTTCAAATTTGGTGTAAACGCATATTTATATCGCACTAAAGTTGCCTTTGGGAATGTCACATTTTGGTGTTGCTGATCCAGAGACCACAAGATTACAAATTGCTTTACTCACCCCTGGGTAACCATAATACCTTTCCAATCCTTAGCTTAGTATTCCTGTTTGTTTAATTGTACCCTCTGTTTTCTGTAGGAAATCCCTTCGGACCATTCTGGGATGCTTTTGATGTTGATTTTGATGACTACGTTGTCTACCATCTAATTACAAACATTGATATCGATGGCACAGATTCTAACAGATTCATTAAAGAGCAATGGAACAAGCAGTGAGTACAAATCATAATTATATTTGCTCAGTTATAAACACATCCCTACTATGACAAATGCACATGAACTAAAAATGGCATTTATTGTATGCCATCTTGAATTTTCAAATTGTGTCATCAACTCCCAAGTTGTGAGTAATTAGATGACCCCCAAAAAATTCTATTGTGTTTTTATCAATACTTTTGAAAGAATAAAGCTAATCATTTGTCGTTATCATGTATTTAATTGTTTTTTAACCTTTTCATCACCAGAACGTTTTTCCCAAATGTTTCTGCATTTTTTTCTTGTATTCTTCAATATTTCAGGAAATGAACCATTTTTGAGCCAACAGCCAAAATTTGGGTCAATTTTCAGTTTTTGCTTAAAAAATTTGGTCAAATTTTGTTCCAATCTGAAGGAAAGTATAGACTATAAACAGAACTATTTTGTAAATTTGTGATGAAAAGAGGGAACTGGTGGTGAAAATTAATTCTCATTGTCATAAATGTGGTCATTTTAATAAATGTGATTCTAGCGCCATATCTCTGACTTGCTTTGACTGAATATGTTCAAATTTTAAATATTCATTATACATCATGTCATAGATATACAGATATATTGGTTTGACGATCCTATTCAAAATGGCCGAATGGTGGCCATTTTTGGGCTAAAAAATCATCATAATCAAGCATTTATTCTGATATAAGGTATTGACAGTTTGCTTGATTTAAGGTGTGAACTAAACTTTACATGCTTCTTATCTGATACTGTTTTGATGAAGTAAATATTCTGCTTGTACAATTGAATTGATATTTTGTATACATATATGTACATGTAACTTGGGTGGACCAGATTTTGTGACATAAAGGAAATGTGGTCATTTTAATAAATGTGATTCTAGCGCCATATCTCTGACTTGCTTTGACTGAATATGTTCAAATTTTAAATATTCATTATACATCATGTCATAGATATACAGATATATTGGTTTGACGATCCTATTCAAAATGGCCGAATGGTGGCCATTTTTGGGCTAAAAAATCATCATAATCAAGCATTTATTCTGATATAAGGTATTGACAGTTTGCTTGACTTAAGGTGTGAACTAAACTTTACATGCTTCTTATCTGATACTGTTTTGATGAAGTAAATATTCTGCTTGTACAATTGAATTGATATTTTGTATACATATATGTACATGTAACTTGGGTGGACCAGATTTTGTGACATAAAGGAAACACTCATACAGACATATCATTCAATCAGAGTGAATGCATTCATTACTTGGGTGCTATTAAGTTTGTCCTTATCATAAATAAAATCTAAATACAGGGATGGAAACAAGCTTTTATCTCCACTATAACATTTATGTAACTATGTATGCTGAAACCACAGACATGTTTAGACCCTCTGGTTTGTCGCTAAAAATGTTGTAACTGGTGACACCGGATGATTTATTTTTGTAGATTTCCAGCTTCCAACCATCCAGTATTAACATTTAAAGGAGCTCCTGCTTCATTTCCAGTCCAACAAGGAAACCGACAACTACATCAGTACATCAAATGGAGTGATAATATTATGCAAGAAGCTCATTTGCATATGAATAAATTATTCCATGGTGAAAAATATGTTGGTATACATCTTAGAAATGGAATAGATTGGGTGAGTTTATTTTAGTTTGGGGAGGGGAGGGGGATACACCTCAGAAATGGAATAAATTGGGTGAGTTCATTTTAGTTTAGAAGAGGGGAGAAGGGTATACATCTCAGAAATGGAATAAATTGGGTGAGTTTATATTCATTAAGGGGAGGAAGATGGGTGTGCATCTCAGAAATGGAATAGATTGGGTGAGTTCATTTTTGTTTAGGGAAGGGGAGAGGGGTATACATCTCAGAAATCAATTAGATTGGGGAGTTCATTTCAATTTAGGGGAGGGGTATCATCCATGAAATAGATTGGGTTAGTTTATTTAAAATTAGGGGAGAGGTATACATCCATGAAATAGATTGGGTTAGTTCATTTCAAATTAGGGGAGAGGTATACATCCATGAAATAGATTTAGTGAGTTCATTTCAATTCAGGGTGGCAGTATACATCCATGAAATAGATTGGATGAGTTCATTTCAATTTAGGGGTTGCAGTATACATCCATGAAATAGATTGGGTGAGTTTATTTCAATTTAGGGAAGGGGTATATATCCAAGAAATAGATTGGATGAGTTCATTTCAATTTAGGGGAGGGGTATACATCCATGAAATAGATTGGGTGAATTCATTTCAATTTAGGGTTGGGGTATACAACCAAGAAATAGATTGGATGAGTCCATTTCAATTTAGGGGAGGGGTATACATCCATGTAATAGATTGGGTGAGTTCATTTCAATTTAGGGGAGGGGAGAGAGTATACTTTTTCTGTCTGTTTAAGCATTTTATGTCGCCAATGCAGGATCACTTGATAAAACATGTCAATAGAGTTAACTGAGAACTCAATGACTTCTTACTGTGATTATATTATTAACAGGAAAGAGCCTGTGAGCACGCTGAAGGCAGTCACAATCTGATGGCTTCTCCACAGTGTCTTACAACAGGACAATTACTAAGCAGAGCCATGTGCTACCCATCAACAAAGACAGTGCTAGAGTATACTAAAACTGTTGTCATGGCAATTGATGCTAAACATGTTTACATAGCAACCGATCATGATCCGTTAAAAGAGGAATTACAAGATTATTTGGAGCCAATTGGGGTAGGTGTCAAGTATCTTGAGAAAGGTTATAACAGTTTTACTATGTTTTGAGTTTTAGCACCTTAGGCATTCTTGTTTTTGTAAGAGGACTTCATCTGAAGTGATGACTGAGTTGACCTTAAAGAAAATGTGTTAATTATGCCATATTGGAATGCGGAGACACATTATGTGTAACAATTTCATTATTGTTGAGTGGTTGTGGTCTGTGTGCATAATAATGAGATAGATTTAAGTGGTTGTAGTCTGCGTGCATAATAATGAGATAGATTTGAGTGGTTGGCGTCTGTATACATAATAATGAGATAGATTTGGGTGGTTGTGGTCTGCGTGCATAATAATGAGATAGATTTAAGTGGTTGTAGTCTGCGTGCATAATAATGAGATAGATTTGAGTGGTTGGCGTCTGTATACATAATAATGAGATAGATTTGAGTTTTTGTGGTCTGTATGCATAATATGAGATAGATTTGAGTGCTTGAGTCTGCGTGCATATTAATGAGACAGATTTGAGTGGTTGTGGTCTGCATGCATAATAATGAGATAGATTTGAGTGGTTGTGGTCTGCATGCATAATAATGAAATAGATTTGAGTGGTTGTGGTCTGCATGCATAATAATGAGATAGATTTGAGTGGTTGTGGTCTGCATGCATAATAAAGAGATAGATTTGAGTGGTTGTGGTCTGCATGCATAATATTGAGATAGATTTCAGTGATTGTGGTCTGCATGCATAATATTGAGATAGATTTCAGTGATTGTGGTCTGCATGCATAATAATGAGATAGAGTTGAGTGGTTTGGGTCTGTATGCATAATAATGAGATAGAGTTGATTGGTTGCAGTCTGTGTGCATAATAATGAGATAGATTTGAGTGGTTGTGGTCTGTGTGCATAATATTAAGATAGATTTGAGTGGTTGTGGTCTGTGTGCATAATAATGAGATAGATTTAAGTGGTTGTGGTCTGCATGCATAATAATGAGATAGATTTGAATGATTGTGATCTGCATGCATAATAATGAGTTAGATTTGAGTGGTTGTAGTCTGTATGCATAATAATGAGATAGATTTGAGTGGTTGTGGTCTGCATGCATAATAATGAGATAGATTTGAGTGATTGTGGTCTGCATGCATAATAATGAGATAGATTTGAGTGGTTGTGGTCTGCATGCATAATAATGAAATAGATTTGAGTGGTTGTGGTCTGCATGCATAATAATGAGATAGATTTGAGTGGTTGTGGTCTGCATGCATAATAAAGAGATAGATTTGAGTGGTTGTGGTCTGCATGCATAATATTGAGATAGATTTCAGTGATTGTGGTCTGCTTGCATAATAATGAGATAGAGTTGAGTGGTTTGGGTCTGTATGCATAATAATGAGATAGAGTTGATTGGTTGCAGTCTGTGTGCATAATAATGAGATAGATTTGAGTGGTTGTGGTCTGTGTGCATAATATTAAGATAGATTTGAGTGGTTGTGGTCTGTGTGCATAATAATGAGATAGATTTAAGTGGTTGTGGTCTGCATGCATAATAATGAGATAGATTTGAATGATTGTGATCTGCATGCATAATAATGAGTTAGATTTGAGTGGTTGTAGTCTGTATGCATAATAATGAGATAGATTTGAGTGGTTGTGGTCTGCATGCATAATAATGAGATAGATTTGAGTGATTGTGGTCTGCATGCATAATAATGAGATAGATTTGAGTGGTTGCAGTCTGTTTGCATATTAATGAGATAGATTGAATTGGAGCCCATCAACATCATGTTGTACAATGCTGATTAGTGGTACAGCATCACATGGTCAGTCACCAATGGCAACCAAATTTATTTGTATCTCTGTCTGTAGTAACTAATTATGTTCTCTCTCTAACAGGTCAAAGTTCACCACTTGAATCCTGCCTTACCACAGATTGACCTAGCCCTGTTAGGCCAATCAGATTACTTTATTGGTAACTGTGTGTCATCGTTCTCTTCATTTGTGAAGCGTGACCGTGACACCAGTAGTGGAAATAAACCCACTACATACTGGGGATTTGAGTTGGAGTCCTTGTGATGTTTGATTTTGTTATTCTCAACCATGAGATATTCTGGTATCAACAACTAAATGTGAGCAATAATTTTTATAACTTGTGTTTCAAGCACTCTCTTAAAAAAATAATATGTCCACAGTTTCCATGGTGAAGTCTAGAAGTGCAAGATTTGTTCGGAGATAACTTCTTTGAAATATAAAAAATGCAAAAACTGAAGCTATTTATGAATTTGTTATTTACAAATTTAGCCAGAAGAAATCTTCTGTTGTCTTAACCACTACATGACTGTCTACATCATTGAGAAAGGGTAAATGAGGATAAAGGTGAAAGGCCAGTATATCATTACCTACAAACTGCCTTTGCATCTGTATTGTTTCATAGACCTATGTCCTGTCTCGATGGCTTTCTTAAATTAACATTTTTTAATCTCCATAATTTATCATCGTTTTGGTTGAATCTGGTCACTAAATATTCTCTAATTTGATATTCATGTTACATTTGACCAAGATGGGAGTTTAGTTTATAATTATACAAAGAATTTCTAGGACAAAAAAAGCAAGGAAATAAAAAGATCCATGTGTCTGTTTGTTTTTGTTTTGTTTTGTTTTGTTTTGTTTTTGTTTTTGTTTGTTTTTGTTTTTTTTGGGGGGGGGCTCAAAACTTGGACCTTTTAATATTATGGTATCATAGCAACCCTCTATGCAAATAATTTGGAAAATTCTCTGACCTAAAATGAGAACCCAGTTGTGCCTTGTAGTATGGTGATGTGATCTCTTTAGCAACCATTTTATTTTAGCAACCAAGTTATGTAAATTGTTGTGGTATTTTGGTAAGGTAGTTTATTTAAAAGTAGTTTAATTACCTATTAGTCTAGTGCCTCTAGCAACCTGTAGAGGGCGATACATCATTCTAAGTTATCATAACACTGTTTATTTTTTTAATTTTTATATTTAATATTTTTATGTAAAAAAATTTTTTTGTAAACCTTTAGGTCTTTTCTATTCTCTAAGTATATCTGAATGTATTTATTTTTCAACTATAAATTTGCACTATAGAATGTCATAATAATAATAATTGTATTTGTGTACAGCAACAAGAGAATTGACAGAAAACCAAGTACATTCACCACCTTTGCTGTATTTTTCTATCTCCAATAGAAACGCATAAAAACCATCAATTAAATTAAATCCATACTGGATCACTTAAATATTAATTTATTTGTTCATAAACACGGCGCTAACATTCACATAAGTGAAGCAAAAATATGAATATTTGATTGAAAAAGAAATAGATAAAAAAGCACAAAATTGGATAATTTTGCATACCGTATTTTTTTATTAGAAGCGCATTTCCAATAGAAGCACACATAAAAATTACATTAGTTAGAAACCGAATAACATGAATTGTAACCATAGAAACATATCTGTAACTTACATAAGAGCATGTGCTACTAATAGAGCAGATACAGTGTTGATATTTTTGAGTGAGTTCTCAGTAATTTCAGTCAATATATGTAAAACCTCAAAAATACGAGTTGTTCCTGATTACAAAAAAATACAAAATTACAAAAATGTAAGAAAAAATAACTCATCCACATTTCTACAGTACTAGATAAAAATATTTTTTTAGCTAAAAATATTTGAGAATCTGTAAAAACAAAAATGCTGTATTTTATTAATACAATATGGTCACATGATTAACATATTAATTGGAGCTTGAACTAATTTGCATATTTGGAAGCTCGGAGACCAATATGGTAGTATTTTAGTAATACAAATTTTAATGAGTCATATCATTAATGAACCCATATCATCTAATTAACAGTAAACAGATAAACTTCCAAACCTGCTCTGCAGTGTGATAAATCCAGTCATTTTTATAGTTTTCTGTTTCTTTGACTACCCATAATGCATCATCAAAAGAATGTTTAACCTTTGACCCTTTCTCTGCCTTTCTCATGTTAACTTTTGTAAAATTTTATAAAATGAAATATTATTAAAATTGGGATCAGTATTGATGAATAATATCAATTGGGATTTAAATCATGAAAAGTTTGTTTAGAAAATCAAATGTAAATTAGTTTAATAAGAAACTAAACCATCATTGTTCTTTTGCTGATTTAAGACAAATATTGTAAAATTATTTAGTCCCAGAACAAGAATGAAACCCCTTCTTGAAAAGTATTATATATAAGTTACAGTGTGCCGTAATTTTGTGGTATTTTACAGGGTATTTTCATCCTTCCATATTAGGAAATGCGATTTCCAAATATTGAATGATTAGGCGCCCTCTAATGATAAAAACAAACATGGCTGCCACCATCGTTTGACTGGACTCCACACAAATAGGTTTGCTGATTCTGTTCTAAACTTTTTCGATTTCGGCATTCCCACGATGTATGCTTGGAAGGAAAAGATGTATAATAATATAGTCATTACGAAGATACATGTACCTCAAAGTATGCACTCAGACAGTACGTCGTCGCATTGACTTCCGCTGCGTGTCAGTCGATACGTCCGCTGTACTGCCTTCGTGCATACTTTGAGGTATCCTCGTAATAACCTCATAATCATATAATCTTTAATTTGGTTCAAACAGGATGCAATCTGTGGGTAATTTTCTCAGAGAAGCAAACAATGTCTTTCACTTTGAGTAATCTTTTAGAATACCTAGTATGTAACATGCAATAATGAATAAAATATTTCATTTATTTATCTCTGTTTGATTTTCACCATGTGTAAGATTTGCTTCGCAATTACTCCCCATCCCTAAAAATAATTAAAAACTTTTTGACTCCCATGTGCGAAGCACATAATGGGAGTCTTTGCAGTTAGTGTGTCTGTGTGTGTGTATGTGTGTATGTGTGTCCGACTGTTCCACTGCTATCTCAAGAACCATACATCGGTTTTTGATGAAACTTGGTGCATAGATGCTCTGGGCCAATGCACAGATTTGATTAGGTTTTGGTAAAAATCCATGCTCGTTAATACCTAATTTGCATGATAATTAGCTAATTTTTAGCTGTTCTATGACTGTTCACTGATATCTAAAGAACCACTCATTGGATTTTGATGAAACTTGGTACATAGATGCTCTGAACATATGCGCAGATTTGATTAGTTTTTGGTAAAAATCCGTGCATATTAATTACCTAATTTGCATGATAATTAGCTGATTTTTAGCTGTTCCATGATTGTTCCACTGATATCTAAACAACCACTCATTGGATTTTGATGAAACTTTGTACATACATGCTCTGAGCTAATGCTAGGTTTTGATTAGTTTTTGGTAATAATCCGTGGATACTAATTACCTAATTTGCATAATGATTAATCATCACATTTCAATGAAACTTGGTACATAGATGTCATATGACACTGCACAGACCTGATAGTTTTTATGGTAATATCAGTACATATTAATTACCTAATTTGCATAATTAATTAACTTTCAGCATTTGATATAAGTACTAATCATCACATTTCAATGAAACTTGGTACATAGATGTCATATGACACTGTACAGACC